CCATGGAAGTAATTAAGGCTCTCTGCAAGTAACCTCAGCCTATATTCACCAAACGTTCATAAGCATAGGGTTTCCAAACACGCTGATGAACATCAAATCCAAGATTCAGTTTCATTGGGTTTGATGTTGAATGCTTGGGAGTTTAATAATCACAAACTTTTTATTTTAATGTTTAGCTTTTTGCAACTCTGAGGGATTGCAAGGGAAATATAATTAAAGATGGAAAAAATTGAGGTGATCAAAGGTGCCAGATAAAGCACTGAAACTGTAGAAGAGACATTTTATATTGCAGTATACTTTAAAAGAGCTTCTCTACAGCTACCGTCTTAGTTTACCCCTTCCTCCCACCCCTTAATTTCAGCTATTGGCATAAGTTTTAGTAGTCTAGAGGTTTAAACATAGCTGGAAAATATCAGTCTGGTTCTTAGAAATAAAATGAGCCCATTGGCCATCTCGAATGGAAAAACAAATCCCACCCCTCCTCCAAATACTAGGGGTGAAGAGTTTAATGGCCTGTTGTAAACTGTGCTGTATTTAGGTGCTTCCATTACATTGTTAACTCATCTTGGATTTCGTGAGATATTTAAGGTAAAGCACAGCTGGGAAGCGTCTTCTCAAGGACTCGGACAAATACTAAAGAAGTTTTACAGCATCTTCACATCTTCCAATAGCACGAGATTAAAAACCTCCACTGGCTGTAGCTGAAGAGATAATCATCCGGGACAGTGCTTTGCCATGCAAAGATTTGACTTCAGATCTGGTTCCCAACAGCCCACTCTTCCTTTCACTGATGCCAGCAGGCGTTTTGCTATTGGCTTCAATAGATGTCCCTGTGCTGGGCATTAGGAACGTTTCAGAGGTGGCATTTCCGCTTTTGGCAGAATAAGGGAAAACACTGTGGGATTTCCCCCCTCCCCCCTTCTTGTACCCTGAAGAAGCTATTTCCAGTGCTGCTCACTAGAAGGAAGGTCACCATGAGTTGCAATGTTGTGAGAAAGTGGTGCAGAGCAATGATTTCTAAGTGGAATTTATTTAGGTCTCAGCAAAAAATAGGTTTGAAGATCATTTGGGAAGCTAAACTCAATTTTGGAATTTCTAAAATATATTCATAAATGCATCTTTTCTTTCTGTTTCGATTTCAACTCTTGCTGCACTAATTAAACACTCACTAGGGAAAAATATTATTCTCCATCAAGAAATTATATTCTCTCCCAGAGGACCTGGAGTCCAACTATAAAATGTGTGTGTGAAGAACAAGAAAGCTGGATTACTGCACTCCACTAGAAATAAGGCCACATGTGATGACTGCTTGAACACTTTAGCAAGTGTAAAATATTGCTGCCTGGTTACATAGAATGTCTTTAATATGTGCTTCATAAACTGCACTGCCCTCATATTGGTTTCTCAGTGCAATTTACGTTGTGAGTTTCTACCTTAAAACTCTCCATGATTGGGCTTCTGAGTACCAAGGTGTTCCAGTTGACAGGCTCTAGGGTTATAAGTCCAGCTCTGGTCTGGAATCTGGTTCCCTGTTAATCTAACGAAGACTAAATCTGGGTAATCTTTGGACATATCATAAAAATTTTGAACAATGTTCAGTCCCTCAGCCTTCCTGTCTGCAGGTACGTGCACTCTGGTACCCGGAGTTTACTACAGGTTAGGGAGGAAAAGGTTTGTGGAAGTCCTTTGTTAAAATAATGATGATACATGGTTTGGAATGTTCCCAAAGTTTGGTTGGCATTCAAGATCTAATATTTTGGTTGGGGGTTGCTTGATCTAATTCCTAGGTATCTAACCAGATAGGAGCCGAGTGGGATTTTCAAAAGCATCTAGGCACCTAACTGCCATTGATTTCAATAGGGGTTGGGCACTATGGCAGTTCTGAAAATCTCAGTAGGTGGCTATCTGTATCATTAGGCATCTAAATACCTTTAAAAACCTGTCTCTTAATCCCTCCTCCTTCCTGGACTTCCAAGAAATTGTCTTTGAAAGCATATGATCATTTCTTCAACCTCTCACCACTTCAGCCTCCAGGAGCAATATTTCAGAGAAGGGTTTGAATTGTATTCACATTCCAAAAGCATTACAGGTTATTCAAGCTTTTAGGTACTATGCACTAAAGCAATTTAAGATAACTATGGCTTCTGCAAAGGATATGAATAGCTGAAATTGTGACTGAACTGCAAGGGTAATTGCATGAAAAGAAAGTTAACTTCTGTAATTTATGAACTCCCTGAATTGAAATCTGTCATAACCCCACTGTTTCAGAAGAAGTGGATTATTTACTTCTGATACTAGTCACATAAATTCATTAACATACTGTCATAAACAGCTGGGTGTTAAAATGTGTTGTGTTTTGGTGGTATAAATAAAAATGTCCAACAAGAAGCTGTGGTTTAAAAACAAACACCAGAGGCCTATGGAAGAATAAAAAGCAATAAATGTTTTTAAGATAACTGTACTTGCCTCAATTGTAAATGGGTCTGTTTGCTACTAACAACAGTTTCATGACAAAAGTGTACCTTCCACCAATATGCAATCTTAGGTTGCTGAAACCAGTGTAGCTCCATTGACTTCAATTGGGATTAAACCAACGTGAGCAAGATCAGGATCAGGCCTTGAATACATCTTTTGCCAGTCAATTAATTTTGTTCTTCCTTTAGAACATGGTCAGAGTAAGGATAATGTGGAGAGGAGGATGGTAGCTGGCGAGGGGCTGGAAATATCATATACTGGAGGCTTTGTCAATCAGGAGCCAAGCAGTTCAAGGTCACACTGTCAACCCAACCCTTAACAGCTAGGAATGCTATATATAGCATATCTGTGGAAGAAAGGTTGAGGAAAAGGTTTGCATAACAGAAAATATCTGCCTTGTTTCCATTCACAGTCAGCAGCTGTAAAGACATGCAATGTCTTATAAGTTTTGACTCTCTGATACCATTTAGCAATCGATGGAAATTATAGGGCCTGATTCTCCACACCTGGACCGTGGCCTAGTAATTTACATTTGTGGAAAGTGCATGTAAAATGCTACCAAATCAGAATCCAATTTCATGCACTTTCCACAGGTGTAAATGACTGGAAAAGGTGCAATCCAGTAGAAAATCAGAATCAGGGCCATTTCCGTTCCTTTTATTGTGCCATTAGAATATGTAATAAAATCTACTAGTTCTTAAGCATCTTAACAGTTTTCTAGTCTTTATCAGTTAAGGTTTATATTCATATCATGGGCCCTCCATGGAAGCCTCTCACTCCATCTTCTTCTCCATTGCCTCCTAATTCTGCAGGTCTGCAAAGGGGCCTAGACTCTGCATTTTGCAGCCCTGTCATGCATTCTTGATGTCACACATTTATGGCGTAAGAATAGCCTGTAATGGCTGCTGCTGTGACACCTTCTCAGCTGGTATCCAAGGGACTTCAGTATCTCCCCCGTTGCTCTCTCTATTGCAGAGGAATGGAAAAGAAGTCAAGAGGTCGTGTTTTTGAGGATGTTGTGGTTAGATGTTGATAGATGTTTGTTTGGCTCTGTGTGTGTGTGTTCGTTCCCTCTATGTGCCGCCCCAGCCCTGTGCAGGCAGGTGGCACGGCAGACCTTGAGCGAACCACCCAATGACCACAAGATCCATTAAGGGATGAAGGCACCCAGCCAGGTGTATTGTTGACAAAGCATGATACTAGTATCCTGCAGACTCTGCCAGACCACTAATACATGCATGCCCATAACAATGGACCAGCTCAGGGAATGGCAGGACTTTCCATTCCTCCCTAAGGCCAGACAAAGATACTCCCTCTGAGATATATCTTTATACCCTGATACAAACAAGTTAGTCTTGCCCCTTTGACATAGTTAGTTACTGCCCCCTGACATCGCTAGTTATCACTCATCTTGTACATGTTGGTTAGATCAGAACATCTCTATTATGTACTATCACTCTGACCTTATCTTTTAGGATGGGTCAGTGTGTTCCTATTATCCTTGGTAATATTTTTGTACCATCCTTGATATCGGGATGTTCTGGTACCACTGGACATTGGCATGTGTTTGCATGAGCATTTTGTGACTAGCACTTGTTAGAAATGTGTTTTTCTGCAATATCAGCCGTGTTCTTGCCAAATTCTGTGAGCAGGTCCTGCCTCATACCAGGCCTCTGATACAAGGGCTTATGTCTCAGACTCTCTTCCTCCTACAGATGTGAGTGTCATTCTGGTTAGGGGAGAAAAGCTTCATCATATACAAAGAGTTGGGAGCACTTCCAGAAGATTGCCAGACTCTGGATTTGTCTAATCTCCTCTGAAAGGTTGCTCATAAATACAAAGCCACCCAAGTGCTATTTGCAAACTTCTCATGGTGAAATTCAGCTCTGTGCAGGGATCCAGCACAAGCCCTACGAGCCAATTAGAGTAAATTCCACTTATACCCTCAAAATGGTACTGAAATAGTGCATAGGCTTTGTACTGATCCACTGCACTAGAGCAAATTGAACACGTTGGAACTTGTTTCCTGAAGTAATGCTTGTGGGGGGGGAGTGGTTAGAGGTATTTTGCTTTGTTTACATATTTGTCTCCCTTCTGTAAATATTGTATTTGAACTGGTGGCACCAAAATATTCATCTTGGTTTTCCTTAGTCAATTTGCTGAGACATGCTATTTTAAATTAAATTAATTCTCAGACTGTTCGCCAGGCACCCAAAGTGTCTTCTGGGATTTTCAAAAAGAAAAGGAGGTCTTGTGGCACCTTAGAGACTAACAAATTTATTTGAGCATAAGCTTTTGTGACCTACAGCTCAGGTCACGAAAGCTTATGCTCAAATAAATTTGTTAGTCTCTAAGGTGCCACAAGTCCTCCTTTTCTTTTTGCAGATACAGACTACCACGGCTGCTACTCTGAAACCTGTCATTATTCTGGGATTTTGTGTTCGTACTCTTCAATGAGTTAATGCACCAGAACTGGCATCTATCTCCCTGTACGTGAATGAATAACCAAGCTTTTCTTATTTTAGGTTCACAAGTTAAGGGTTTTACATCATTGCGGTTCCTGACTGAGCCTTCAGATGCTGTCACCATGCGTGGAAGTAATGTGCTGCTGAATTGCATAGTGGAGTCAGATCAAGGAATTCCTGTCATCAAGTGGAAGAAAGATGCAGTCTTCTTAAATCTGGCAGTGGATGAAAGGAGACAGCAGATGGCCAATGGTTCCCTTTTGATACAAAGCATAGTCCATTCCAGGCACCATAAGCCAGATGAGGGTCTCTACCAATGTGAGGCCTCTTTAGAAGGTATTGGGGCTATCATCAGTCGGACAGCTAAAGTCACTGTAGCAGGTAGGAATAACTCTTCTGTCGTTTAAACTGCTAGAAACGTTGTCTTGTGAGAACAATTTTAAAGAAGCATTAAAATGTAGGGAAACATTCTTCTGGCGGAAATGTGTGGTTTGGTTTCCCCCCAAAAATAAATAAAATAAAGCCAGACATGACACATGAATTATTTTTGACAAGCAACTATTCTTGCTTAAATATGTCTAATCAGCTCCTTGTTGCAGTGAGATATTTGCTGCATATTTATTGTCTTCAAAACAAGAAGAAATTGGAAATTAACTGCTTTCTTAGTTAATTCAGCCTTAGAAAAAATAAAACGCTGAACCTCTGTGGGACGTAAAATGTGCATAATTTGTTTTTCAGTTTAGGTCTTTTTTTTCCGCACTGACAAGAATCCATTATACAACTTATTGAAATTTGTAGCCTTAATTTCTGTAGCTCTTTTTTGAAGTACCTGGGAGGAAGTATAATACAGTGGTGAGAACAGAATATTGGTCATCAAGAGACCTGGGTTTCATTATGGCTCTAACACTGAGTTTCTATATGATAACCATTTGAGCCTAAATTATTACAGGTGGCCAATAATTTTGGGTGACTCACTGTTTGGGGGCCTGAGCTAGTGCTCCTACATATGATTTTCAGAAGTACCAAGCATCCACAATGCCAACTGAAGACACAAGGGATGGTAGGTGCTCGGCCTTTGTGAATGCTTTAGGTGTGTCAAAAATGTCGTCACCTCAAGTTAGTGGGCACTTAAAAGGATAGGCAATAGCCTCTCCATGTCTGTTTCCCCTTTTGCATAATGGGAATAACTGTACTCCACTTTACAGGGTGGCGTGAGGCCTTAATCAGCTAATCATTGCAAACTGCTTTGAGACCCTTGAATGAAAGGTTAAATAATGAAGTGTTGTTATATTTCAGGGGTGGGCAAACTTTTTGGCCTGAGGGCCACATCGGGGTTGTGAAACGATATGGAGGGCCGGGTAGGGAAGGCTGTGCCTCCCCAAACAGCCTGGCCCCCGTCCCCTATCCACCCCCTCCCACTTCCTGCCCCCTGACTGCCCCCTCCCGGGACCCCCCACCCCTAATTGCCCCCCAGGACCTCACCCCCTATCCAACCCCCCCCCGCTTCCTGTCCCCTGACTGCCCTGCCCCCTATCCACACCCCTGCCCCCTGGGACCCCCAACCCATCCATCCCTCCCCCACTCCTTGTCCCCTGACCACCCCCTTCCAGGACCCCTGTCTCTAACTGCCCCCCCCCAGGACCCCACCCCCATCCAACCTCCCCCCACTCCCTGGCCCCCCTGGGACCTCACCCCCTATTCAACGCTCCCTGTCTCCTGCCCACTCCCCCAAACCTCTGCCTCATTCAACTGCCCCCTGACCGCCTCCCGGCACCTCCTGCCCTCCCCCTGTCCCCTTACTCTTATCATGCTGCTCAGATTGGCAGGAAAGACTTATTTGAAAGCCTGGGAGGTGGGTGGGCACAAGCCACGCTGCGCACGCGGCAGTGTAGCTGCAGGGGGAGGGAATATGGGGAAGGGGCCGGGGGCTAGCCTCCCCATCCGGGAGCTCAGGGCCCAGGCAGGACAGTTGGGACGTAGTTTGCCCACCCCTGTTATATTTAGTATCCCATGGCATCTAGCTTTCAGCCTGTTTCTGTAGGATCATTGTAAACCATTATTAAAATATTTCACAGGGCAGTAGGTTTTCTTTTGATCTTGAGCAGTGTGTTACTAGATCTGGCTCTGACTGAAATAATGTTTTGGCTGCCTAGAATGGTCAGAACTTGAACTGGACTTCCTGCGAGTAGATATCCAGAGCTGGACTATATTCCCCTATCTTACTTTATTTACTATGGGAGACTTGCAGGCTCAGGGTCCTTGGTCTTACGATGGTTGAAAGCAGCCAAGTCTCTAATCTCCTTGGAGGAAAGAGAGTCTAGGTAAGTATTTTTTTACAGTCATGCTAAGAATCAGAGTTGATGGTACTTGAAGCAACTGGAGAGCTCCCTTGTTAACGGAGCTATTCTTTGGGTCATGTGAAAGGAATTTTTTTCTTGAAGAAGAAAAATAAATTTGTAGCCACTCTTGTTCCAAAGATAAACCTAGAAAATGCAACTTGATTGCTCGACTTGAACGCAGATGGGATCCATTCCTTCAGCAGCAGACTGGGTGAGGTGGGCTAAAAATTCTTCATTCAGTAATGTCCCTATGAGTGTTCCACTTCAGGTACACCTGTGTCTCTTGCATCCTTAATCAGAGATTTCCTGTTTGCAGTGTCTGTTTGACCTGCCTATACATCCTTGTGCCATGCACTGAGGCTACATAGGGCTGCCGCGGTCGATCTGTCCTCGGTTCCCTCTCAACCACCTCGGCCTAAGACAGAGCCCTAGCGTGTCTGCCTTGAGAATGCCTGAGTGAACTTCTTCTTTATAGTTTAGTGTTAGTTGGTTTTAGTTGCATAGTTAGTAGATAAGTAGTGTGAGGATTAACTTTGGTCCTCTCCCTCACTTCAGGGAGCCTTTCTCTCCTGGCAGGGCAGGCCCGACTCTCCAGGATTCAAACATTGCCTCTCTTGTTGGGAGCCTATCTTGGTCAGTGATGGCCACTCTAAGTGTGTCAGCTGCCTGGGAGAGTCACATGTCTCCCAGAAGTGTAACTTTTGCCTGGCTCTTAAATCCAGAGCAAGGAAGAACTGTGAGGTCAAGCTGCTGCTGGAGTGCTCCTTTTGACCCAGTTCAGAGTCAGGTCAGAAGACCTTCCCACAGACATCTGTCTCTGGGCAGATCAAGTTCCCCTTTGACCTCAACACAGATCTCGCCTAAGAGGGGCAAAACTCTTGAGACCTCAATGAAGGGTCCCAAAAGAGAACTGCTGACTGTTATCATAAGGACCCTGTTCCCAAAAGACCCCCGTCCCCTGCTGAGTCCATGGCATCAGAAGCCCCAACCTCTCAGCTCAGCACTGTAGAGGCAAAAGACTCCTCCTCCAGAACTGGTGGGTCTGGGAAATCCCAGAACTCTTAAGAGAAACACATTTCCAACAGAGCCCTGGAACTGTCTAAAAGGGACAAGGAGGATAAGCACTCCTCCAAACCAGTACCACTGAGCACAGCTCCATCATTAGTAGCTCCCCAATCAGGATCTTCAGTACAACCATGCAAACCAGTGTCAGACCATTGGCGCCTACTTTGGTATGTTCAAAATCTACAGTATGTCTGCTTCAACTGCCAAGCACGCTATTATGTCAGTACCAATCCTCCACTCAGTACCACAGGAATTCAGATACTCAAAAGACTTTTATCAGTGGCAGATGGACTGGAATCTCCACTACTCATGGGTACCACATACCTCTCAGTACTGAGACCCCATTCTCCAGACTACTATCACTCTCCAGTACCACTGGACTCTCCACCCTTTTTCAGCTGGTGCCCCCTTAGTTGGAAGATACCAAGGAGGAGGAAGACCTTCCTTCAGTCACATCCATCTCAGTGCAGGGTTCTCCTACACATCCATACAGGAACCTGTTCTTTGAGTCCCATAGGGAAAACCCTCATGCTCAACACCACAGGTGGTGGGACCAACTCCTGAAAGGGGTACAGTAGTCTGGAAAGGTTGAGAGCCACTGGTCTAGGGGACATCCACTCCCCAACCTGACCACTATACTAGTCACTGAAGACCCACTCGCCCACACCATCTGGAGAAACCCACTTTCCTGCTGACTCCTCATACCAGCCAGCAAAGGCCTGTTTACTTACTGAGCCCTCCACACCATCCTGGGAGAGCTACCCCCCAACCTAATATCCTTAATAGCAATGGGAGACCTAGTTCCCCTACTTGATCCCTGTACAAGGTGGGGTAGACCGCTCTCAGTCGGACAAAACTTCCCACCTCAAGAACCAAGGGCGTACATCCCCAACCTACCAGAAAACACCTATTTCACCAACCCACTCTCTACCTGACCAACCACCCCAAGACGGAGGCTTTAGGACAGCTGCCTGCTACAATCACCTCTGTTTTGAGGAACAGCTGCCTAAGAAGGGATCCTCTGAGATGCTGTTTGGCTTTGGTTGGACTTCTGCTGATTACTAATTTAAGTAAATGCACCTGTCTCTACTGTTCCCTGTCAACTTATCCATTGGTTGTGTGTGGCCTAAATCCCTGACTGTGAGATTTATGGGGCAGGGATTGTCCTTGTGGTGTTTGTACAGCAATGAGGCCAAATCCCTGACTAGGGTCCCAAGATGTTATTCTAAAAGAAAGAAAGATGCAGGGTAGAGGGAAGCCTGGCATGTTAAAGGGACTGATTGATGTGGGTGAGAGTGAAATCACTGATGCCGCTGTTTGGTGTGGGAAGAGTGTAGAATTGCTACATTTTGTGGGGTAGAGGATAAGTATGTGGGGTTATTTGAAGTGTGGGAAGAGTATTTTGCTGACAGAAGGTCAGATGTATTCCTGAGGGAGCTGGAAAATATTTGAAGAAGTCCTTGTTAAAATTTTGGCAGCACACCGCTGACTTAAGACACAGGCAAATGAAAGATACGACAGGGTAGGGAAGAAGGGTAAGAGGAGAAATAAAGGTTTAACACTCCAGTAAGTTGCACTAATCACTGCATGAAGCTGCTTTTACAGGGCTTGTGTTGTGCAAGTACTTTAAGTTGTCCAAAGTAATGGAAGATCAACTCAGATTGTTAAATAATATTATTTGGAAAAAAAGTAGAGAAGGGTGACAGGCTGAATTAAACCAAACAAAAATGTCCACTGGTACCAAGGACTGTGAGATGTGTGGTTGGTAAACAAGAGGCAAATGAAATTGGAGATTAATGGACCAAAATTGGTGTGTTGGAAATTGGGCCTAATTGGTGGACAAAATATGAGAGGATGGGCTTAACCCACTCTTCAACCCGTTCAGGGTCCTTAAAAGAGACAGAGGGGAATAGTGATACCAGGTGGAAGATGGATGAATTGAAAAGAGTGATATTTATGGGGCTTGAGTTTCTGTTC